GGGGAAAGGGGAGCGGGGACCTCCCGAAAGCTGAGCTGGGGCGGAGAGGAAAGACAATACAAAGCCGACCGCTTCTGATGCAGAAAACCCGCGTTCTTGGGCAAAATGCTACGGTGTTTGCCGGAAAGGAAGTAATTCTTGTACCGTGTGTTTAGGGAAACTAGTACTGTGTTCCCTGCATTCCCAGCTGGCAAGCCAGCTCTCACCTTCCTAAAATACCTAGCGATAAAAATACTAGCAAGGCCCCGAGCCCTGTGTCTTTGCTCAGGCTTGGATTAAACCTAGATCCCAGTACAAATTTGGTGACTGCAAAGAACTTCAGTTTTCCCTGTTCCCAGTTCCTTATCATCTCCCAAACGGTTTGTGCCTGAAGTCAGCACCTAATGCAACATTGCTATGCAATTATGTCTGTTTCTGACACGTCCAACTGGCTATGTTGCAGAATTTTTTATGTTACACCTGTAAGGAGTATGTAGAAGACCTGGCAAAAGTCCCCAGAGAGTTTTTACAAGTAAGTACTCTGCCCATAATACGTACATGGGGTTGTTGTACTCAAGCAGATTTGTTACATCCTGCTGCAGGCTTGTATCAGGCTCAGACCTTCTAGGAATGAAAAAGAGGCCCAGAAGAAAGTTAGCGCTTTCCTTGTTTCTACAACAACCATAATGTATCTGCCAAGGAGACACAGGGAAGTATTAATTGCACTACACGCACTGCGGCAGCAGCATTGTTTCTCCCTGCCCTGTTAGCTTGGTGCTGGTTTTTTCTGCTGCATTCTGGACAGACAACATCTGACAGGCATTTCTTTTGGTATCAGTAGCAGCCTGGGCAGCTGTCTTCTCCTGACTACTAACTAACTACTGCCCTTTCCATTATGCCGGTACAGCTGACTGATGGTTGTGCATGGAACAAGATCAGAAAATTGATCTGGATTAAAAATAGTCTCTTTTTCTATGGTTATTTGTAAGCCACATCAGTTGTGTGACCTGTTCTGCAGGCAGCTGCACAAACAGGAGGACATAGTGACAGAAGGAGAAATGGAGTGGGCAGGGGTTGCTATGGATGGGTATTTGTTGGGTGGTAGGAAATACCAGGGAAGACAATGATCCCCTGCTAAATGTGGAAGGTCAATCTGTCTCTTCTAGGCTGCTGATTGAAATTCTGTCATATTTTATTCCCAACAGCATAGCCGATGACAGGGGCTTAGCGCCTTGCTGACAGCAAGCCATAGATGGACTAGGAACTTGGGGATGAAAAGGGGCAATTTGTTCGCCAGCTCCCCTTCTCAGGACAGATTTTTCTAAACTGCTCAATCAGTGTTACTCAGAATGATGTTCTCTTAATTTGGCTGCTCAAATAAAAGTATAGAGAGAATAAAAACCGCCCATGCTTTCCTTAGTGTGAGAATTCTGGTTTTAGGAGGGCTTCTTTTCGTAACAAGCAAAATGATTCTATATGGAATGGCAAGTGTTACAGCCTAATATTAAAACAACCTTGTGTTTTATTAACTGGCTTACTGGTGTCTAAATGAACTTAAGTTTTGGACTCTATTTTAGACTCTGGCCTAATGTTGCACCTGCAAAAGACAGCAGCACATGTGGATGCAAGTTACATCTATTAATGAGCGTCCGTATATGTAAATCACAGACATATGTGCACCAATATTTGCATGCTGCTTCTTTAGATGCAGGTGCAACTGAAATTTTGAATTTCCAAAATCATAGCAGGTTGCAGTCAGTTGAAAAGATGATGCTACTAATGCTACAGAACACTTAAAAGTTACATACATGTAACTTAGAAGTTATCTTTAAAAATATTTTTTTCTCTTAATAAATTAATGTGGCTGCTAACTGTGGGTGGTAGACAAAGCTGCAGGCTCCAAACATGTAAGTGATGTTCATTTGAAATAAATTTAACTCTGTGCACTGTGATCATTAACTCAGGACACCAGATTCTGCTGATGCTTTGCAGCCATGCAGAAACACCGAGTTCCTCTTTACAGTTTCAATACCCATGTTCTGTTCCAGGAAGCACATGTGAGGCTTATAGTTATTGGACAGTCATCTTATCATCACATCAAGGTAAATAAAGTAGTCCTTTAATACATTGTATCCTCGATTGTGTCTCAATGGTCTGCGTTGAGGGATTTCAATCTGAGTGAAAAGATGGCCATTTGCAACCACAGAAAAAGAGAACAGTATTCTTTTTCATGAAGCAATTCTAATAGCAGTACATGAATAAAGCAAATTACTAAAGCCTTCCATTTTTAAACCACTGTGGCTTGCTAAGGAAACACCTTTTCTTGATTTTAGTAAAAGTTTCAGGGCTAAAAATTTTTGGCCTTTACTTTGACATGACAAATCCACAGGTTTCCAAATTGGGGGTGGGGAGGATGGGGTAGGAGGGTGTCAGTACTTTTTCCATTGTGAGTAGATCCTAACTAATTACTGTCTTAACCTTAAAAATACTTTTTTTTTGTATGCATATTATTTTGCAGCCCTTCTGCAGTTTAACCGGGTATACACATGAAATGTATGTGGATCCACAAAGGGAACTTTATAAAATGCTTGGCATGAAAAGAGGTGAAGGTAATAATGTGTCAGGTAAGAATCATTTTCTCACCTTGTTTGGACTCACACAGAACAAAACAAGAATGCTCTGATAAAATATTGTGATCACAATTGCCCCCCAGACTGTCTCTTGTAGCCTGTATTTTGTCAAAACAGTTGTAATAAGGAAACTCTAAATTGTTCATAGCAGCTGTTTGATTTTGTTGTTCTCCTTATATAACTTTGTATTTCTAGGTAACAAGTATTTTGCTGTTTTGTTTAGTGCGGAGCCCTCATGTGAAATCAAGCACATTCCTGGGAAGCATTAGGAGTATGTGGAGAGCAATGACTGGCCCAGCTTTTGATTTTCAAGGAGACCCTGCTCAGCAGGGAGGAGCTTTGATTTTAGGCCCAGGTGAGCTTCCTTGCTTTGCAAGAAAGTTATAGTCTTCTCCTTCAGCAGTTTGCTTTAACGCTGCCATCTTGGCTGCTGTCCCTGTGGATCCCAAGGAGACAGTCTTGTGTTGAAATGTGTGATTTTGCTCGCTGAAGGAACCTGTGGAAGTGTCGTTGTGTAGTCCCACCTCCCACAAAGGTGGCACAAAGCTGATCGCGGTCTTGCAGAAATAGGTAGGAGTGCTGGTGAAACAACTGCCTCAAAGTTTGGAGGGGTTTTCTTGAGATGGTGATGTTCACTGACATTCTGCTTTCACATTTGATTCATGGCATTTAATACTGTTTTAGTAGAGGAATAATGCATGAAGGGGGTGGGGGGGTTGCACCATGGCAAAGTCATCTCATCAAATCATTAGGCAATGTCATGCTACAGAAGATTTAATTCAGTTAGATGCCTCCATGTTCTCTGCTTCTATAACTTAATTAAAAAAAAATCTTTCTCATTGGTTAAAATGCAGTATATTGTCCAGTCTGTAGAGCTAGTACACATTTGTACAGAACTAGTAGGAAATCAAAATGCTTCTTTTGATTCACTTATGTCTTTGAATAAATAAATTTTTTATTCGATAATTTACATGCTACTCTCATTTCATTCCAGGCAATGAAGTTCATTTTTTGCACCTTGATAAAAGCAGGCTGGATCATGTTCCCATTAACACAGTTTTGCAGCTGGCAGGAGTTAAAACAGTAAATTTCACAAACGAACCCCAGATTATTGACATATGACACTGAAACAATGTATAAATTTTTTTTATTTGTGCTAAATTCCCACCAGCATTGGTATTGTTGTGTCTTTATGGGACACCTGAAACGTTATCTAGAAAATCAGAGCACAGAATAAACTACTTGGCACTGAAGATGGACGCGGAAGTGCTATTTCTGATGTATGTAAGATAACAAAAACACAACTGAGGCTTACTGCAAAGAATTCTGTAGCTTATTATTTCCTCATCAAACAATCTTGCTACTATACTGTAAAAGTTTGTTCAAGACATGCTGAACTACAATATCTGGTTTTGCTCAGGAAGAACTTGGAATTCTTGCCTTCAGCAGATCACACTGGCTTTCAATCCAATACTTCACAGTGATGTTTTAAAGCTTCCAGCACCATGTGAATACAATCTTCTATTAAACTATACCTTGAAAAATCAGAGTTTCAAACACTGGGACTTATGCTTATGCCTACTTTTGCATCTGGCACTGGCAGACATTATGAAATACGTTTTATAGTTTTAAATAAATATTTTAAATAAAAATCCGTTGTCTGCAATTCTTTTGTGTCATACCAAAAGGTGGGTCTGCTAGACCAGGGAGAGGCATGTCGTGAACGTTTTTCTGGTGAGATTGTCAGTTTTGGAGTAGGCCGTAGTTGGTTACTTGTTTTCCTGTGAAAATCCGCAGCAGAGTATTCTCCCTTGTATGTATGTGCTTTCTCTCAGAGCAAGAATCTGAAAAAATGTCCTTAGTTATTTCTGTCCTAGCCAACTGAGCTAAGGACAGCATTTCGGTTTGCAGTTCTGTCAGGTTTCCTATTTCCATTTTTCGAGAAATGTTTATGTAAAGAATCTATCGCTTTCATTAAAATCAATGTGCCGTCATTCACCCATGAGCCACTTCTTTTTAGCAATTTCAAAATAAGACTGCCCAAGATTTACGGAAGAGCAGATCCTCCTCTGCAGCTTCTGATCTTTGGCCTTCACTGTAAAATGCTACTATCCATACATACCTCACCTGCAGATTATTTCCCTTTTTAAGACTTAGTAATGCAGTTGTGAAATGGTATTCTGTGAAGAGGCTTCTCCCTGCATCCATTAAGGTCACTGGCAGGCCCAGAGCAAGCTGTGGAGAGCTCTACACCATTAAGAGTACGTGAAATTAAATGCAGTGTTCCTTGACGAAAAATAAAAGGCTTGCTTAAGAAACTTGACAATACTAAGCAATGTAATTCCATTAAAGGTACTATGCCTTAGCACCTTATTAATTACACATGCATTTTGATACAGTATGTTTAAAAGAAGGATATTATTAATGCAAAAATACTGTCTCTGGCTCCCTGCTTTGACTAAATGGCACTCGGCACAGGGCTGAAAGCAGCCATGTGCAGACTCTTGCAGCTGTGTGATTTCAGGGCTTGCCAGAGGCTTACTCAGAACTTGGTATAACACACTGGGACTGGCAGCTGAGGCTCACAGAGGAGTAAAGTCCACTTTCCAGGAACCACTGCCCAACATTCATAAATAAGTAGCTGTCCCCTCCCACCAGGGCTCCCCCTGCTCACCAGTATTTTTGAGGATGTCGGAAACTCTGGAATGCAGCCGCCTCTACATTACTCTAAACCGCAGCAGAAAGCAAGCCAGAAAACCAGTCATATGTCAGTAAAATAAAGACAAGAAACACCAAAAAACTTGAGATTATTTTCAAAGAGAAAGAATGACAAACACTTGTTTTGTTTGTAGTGCTTCAACTCTGCTTCATTCACCTGATCATCCCCACCGAGGACACTGACTCTAGTCCCCACTTCTGTGTGGCAATCATTTCACTTTCATGTTCTTGGTGCTTTTGATTTCAAAGGAACTGTTTGGCTAGCTGTTTTTCTCCTTCTTTTGCTTCCCGTAGAATTAAAATAGTACACAATGGGAATAGTTCTATTGCTACTAATACATTAAATGAAACTAACTGTAACTAAAAGAAGGGTGGGCTCTTAAAAGGGACTGCAATGGATTAAGTTGTAGTTTGACAGCTCTGTCGGTTGAAGTCATCCACCCTCACCATTTCAATACTGATGGGAACCACACCTCGGCTTCGGTGTTATCCCAGCAAAATCACTACCTCAGGAAGATGAGCAAAGTGCAGACAAGGAAAGAGATGAAAGGAGACAGAAAGGAGGATTCAGTAGAAGAACAATCCCAATTAGGGCATCGGCCCTGCATTTTGCTCTGGCCACAGCCTCACCAAGTTCACCATGAATATTCCAATTTGTGCATAATGAATGATGGCCACATCCATCCAGGAGAGAAGAGGTTTTCAAAGTGTCAGCAGAATTTTAGGTCTCTGGTGTTACTTGGAAAAAGTACTTTTTACGCAGGGAAAGGTGGAAACCAGTGGGAGACAAACAGTGACCTCACGTTCAGCAGATGGTGGAGTACTTCAGCGAGGGCTTTTGTCATGGCCAAGTAGACAGAGGTGGGGAGGGATTGGTTTTCAGTTGTTCTAACTACTAGCTTGATGTGTTTCAACACCTACTTAATACAACAGTGTCTTTCAAAGCACCATTGCATCCAAGAGGCAGGCTCAAACCCAGCCATTTCAACTTTCCAGATAAATCCATGTAACGTTCAGACCAGAAGGTGGCTGCATACACTGGGCCCGTTCCACTTGGCTGTGCACAACATTACCTCCCCTTGGGAGCCCCTCTTGGCACGTGTCACGAGAGGCACTGGAAGACCACAACGCATCTAGACATGCCACTGAAAACAGTTGTTTCCGAAGGCGGTGGCTTTACACCAGCGCAAGTGTTGCCAGCCCATCTGTGGGAGCTGATGCACCCCACAGCCGGGGTCCTCGCAACCCCAAGAGCTGCGTTTTGGTCACACTATCACCATCACCACACACACATTCACACACACGCCCCGGGAAAAGTCGGGCGCCACGTCAGCAGCCCTCACCGGCGGCGGGCAGAGCAGGGGTGAGGTG